ATTTACTGGATGGATAATAATAAGCTTGCTTGCTGCTAGCCTGTTACGCTATTCGGTTCGGGTAATCACCATGCAAAAGCATTGCTTTCTTAAAGTTTTTATAAGAAGAGTAGAAGGATTTTGGAAGAGAAGATCCACAAAGCTGTTGGACATCTCGTGTTCTTAACGACTAATGACAAAATTGATAAAACGCGAAGCTGTATTACTAAAACAATAGAGTCATATAAGTACGGAACGTTCCACAAGTGAAATGTTGTTTTGCTTTGATTTCCACCGAAACGTCTTCTTCCTTCTGAAATCCGAATTATGAATCTGCCAGCTTGGCGGTCACTTTCGACTCTTTCACTTGGTCGGAAATTCATTCAATCGAATTCCATCCAGTCCTTTTGTAAACAAATATGTCAATTGATTGATCATGCTCACATGATGCATCTTCATCAATCATGTCTTGATTCTCTCTCTTGCCACATGCATATCAATCTCCATATGCTTTATCATTTCGTGAAAAAAAAGAATGATTTTCTGTTATATGTATAGCAACCTGTTATCACAGTTAACAGAGATTGGTAACGGTCAAGTCTGGTCTAGTAGTGACCTTGACATAGTGCAGTCTGCCAGTCTCTCAATCAACATTATGTGCCCTTCTGCATCTTTCAATAGTATTCCTTGTGTTAGTCTTTTTTAACCGTCATGTGAGTTATCCTATTGTTCTGCCTACCAATAAATTGTAAAAAAAAAAAATTAACGTGGAGATTGAATTTTTTCGAAAGAGAGCGCCTCTTTTTGCATCTGCCATGTTTTCTGATTAACCTTGTCAATAATCATCTTAGCATCAACCTCGAAAGAGCGCCTCCTGCACCGGAATTAGAGAATTTCTCATAAAAGTATTACTATATTTTGATTTTTTTATAGAAATATTTTGAAATTTGTTTACTGCAATTTGAAGAAAGTCCGTTAGCGGATTTTGGTCTGCTTAATGGGCTTGATTGTTTGTCCAATTATGGGCTTTTGGATCATAATCCTCCCCTCTCAGACGAAAGAGCGGGCAGGCCCAGGTCGGGGCCGGGCAGTTTCGCTCCAGGCCAAAACTCTGGTAGCCACGAAGATAAGACTGACCGTCTCAAAACAACCGAAACACTCCCCCTCCTTCACATTTTGCAGTCCGGCTCTTTAGTTGCAGTCCGGCTCTTTAGTTCCCATGGCGGCCGCTCAACTCTTCTTCTCTCCTCCTCTCCCCAACCCACATCCGGCTCCCAACCACCGCCGCTGGGTACAGTCCTCCTCCATTCTCAGCCGGCAAAACAGAGTATCCGCCGGGAAATTCATAACCCGAGCCAACGGCGGGGACATGCTGGGCGATTTCGGGGCGAGAGACCCGTTTCCGGCGGAGGTAGAGAGCCGGTTCGGTGAGAAAGTTCTGGGAAACATGGATACGGAGCACAAGATTCTGATCCCGAACATCTCCGCCATGTCTCTGGCGCAGCAGGAGTGTTCCCCTGTTTCTCCCGTCCAGCCTCCCATGTCGAAAGACGACGCCCAACGGCTGTTGAAGAAGGTGCGAATCCAATTTTTTTTTTCTTCAACCCAATTTTTGAATTCTGCAATTCAATTCAGCAATTGGGTTTTTGGATTGGTTAGGTTTTGGGGTGGAGATTGTTGGAGGAGGAAGGTGGGTTGAAACTGCAGTGCTTGTGGAAGTTGAAGGATTTCGGCTGTGGGATTGAACTTATCAACAGAATCCACAGAGTGACGGAGGCTTCGGGCCATTTCCCCAACCTGCATTTGGAACACCCGAACCAAGTGAGGGCTGAGCTGTGGACTAGAACCATTGGTGGGTTTTCCTCATCAATAACCCTCCAATTTCATTCTTTGATCTTGGTTCACTGTTAATTAAGGGTGTTGATCTTGTTTTTGGATATTGTGGTTTGCAGGAGGGTTGACTATGAACGATTTCATCGTTGCTGCCAAGATAGATGCGATTAAGACCTCAGATCTCGCACCCAGGAAGCGGGTTTGGGCATAAAGCTCAATCTGCAAAATTTGCAAACATGAATCTTCAATGTATTTGATTTGCTCTGCTCCCCCATTCAAAGTTGGGTGTGTTGTGGTGTAATTTTGAAACCATTAGCACGGGTCATTGAGCAACCTCAATGGTCTTTCCATTCCTGTGTTGCAGCATTTCTCGTTGCATTACTAGGTTTCTATACGAAAGAAGAAGAAGAAGAGATTTACGGCTGCTTGTATCCTTGATTTACGACCAAGCTAGCTCAGCTGATCTGTACACATTGTTTTCAGAAGATAAGAAATGGATTATCCTGTACTTAACACTTGGAGTCCCTATGTTACTGGGATAAAGGTTGTCAACCCGGTTTATGCTGGTTTTGCTAGTTGTATGGTCCAATCAAGGACACAATCGATTAATGACTAATGTCAGTTCATGTCAGTTTTAGCAAATACATAGAGAAGTGAAGAGATTTACGGCTGCTTGTATCCTTGATTTACGACCAAGCTAGCTCAGCTGATCTGTACACACTGTTTTCAGAAGATAAGAAATGGATTATCCTGTACTTACACTTGGAGTCCAACATAGGATAACGGTTGTCAACCCGATTTATGCTGGTTTTGTTAGTTGTATGGTCCAATCAAGGATACAATCGATTAATGACTAATGTCAGTTTTAGCAAATACATAGAGAAGTGATAAATCATTAAACAATTAATGAATTTAGGCATATATATAACATATTTGAAGATAATTTCTCTAAAATCTATATTCATATTTAAATACAATGTTTAACAAAATTTATACTTAATTCAACAAATAACATTAACATTTAACAAACAATTATATTTTTGGTTAGTTAAATTCACCAAAACAATATTTTATTTTAAGATTGGGAATAGATCATAACAATCATACCGTGGCGTGAAGTCATGAACAATCCAACCAATTTTGTAACTGATACCGGTTAAACCCGTTTGTACCGACCGGCGACCATCTTGTAAACAAAGGCCTGAAGAGCAGTGAACAGCAAACCAAAACAAGAAAAATAGAAAATGGCGGCATCTGTTGCTCCCGCTCCTGCCCTGAAAATTTCTCTGCTTTCAAGCCAAGGTTATCCTTCTCTTACGTTACATTTCCGTCTCTCTATAATCTTGTACACTCATCTTTGTTGCTACTTTCTCAATTCGCTCACTGGGAAATTTCGTCACATAACCTCTGCAGGGTTGAACGCAGTTGCACCTTGTGGATTGTCATGGCGACAGCAGGTTCGCTCACTTTTCCTTCGGTTACCCACCTTCCTTATTTGTACTGTTACAGGAAAGCATGCTACTTGGTTGCTGACTTCACCACTCTGATTCGCATTTCCAAACTTTATTGGTTTCCCCTGTTTCGACTGTGATATGCATATGTGGTGTTCGACGAAATGCTTGCTTGTCTCTCAGCCCAGCTACCTCCTTTTACCTTGTTATCTCTTCCCTCTTGAACATATGCCGTTTCTCTTATGCAGCGACGATCAAGAAGAATGGCTGGCCGTGTTGCAATAACATCAAAACTCGAGCTAAAGCCTCCTCCATATCCCATGGTAACCAACAACACAAAACAAACTTTCCCCCTGGTTTAACTGAGTTCTACGGTGATGGTGGTTCAGGGTTTTGTTGAATGGCTCTTGTTATGGCAGGATGCATTGGAGCCACACATGAGCAAGGAAACATTTGAGTATCACTGGGGAAAGCATCACAGGGCCTATGTAGACAACCTCAACAAGCAAATCGATGGGATGGAGCTCGAAAACATGTCACTGGGGGATGTTGTGGTTGCTACATACAACAAGGGAGATGTGCTCCCAGCTTTCAACAATGCTGCCCAGGCTTGGAACCATGAGTTCTTCTGGGAATCCATGAAGCCAGGAGGTGGAGGGAAGCCATCGGGGGAGCTACTGACGTTGATCAAAAGGGACTTCGGTTCTTTCGAGAAGTTTGTGCAGGAGTTCAGGACAGCTGCATCTACCCAGTTTGGTTCTGGATGGGCTTGGCTTGTCTGTGAGTGACCCTTTTATTTATCCAGTTTCCTTTTGATGGTATGCCAAAGTAACTTCCTTCTGTTCTTCTGATGACATATTTTTGCTTTTAACCAGACAAAGCAAACAGGCTTGACGTTGAGAATGCAGTAAACCCTATTCCATCGGAGGAGGACAAAAAGCTTGTGGTGGTGAAGAGTCCAAATGCTGTAAATCCCCTCGTTTGGGATTATGATGTATGTTCCTGTAGTTAGTTATTTATTCATCTCTAGTTTCATGATTTCACACAACTGTTGGTAACCAGCTTCTTGTTATTCCAATGCAGCCTCTTCTGACTATTGATGTTTGGGAGGTACTCATCAAAACCCTAACTATCTCTCTGTAATGTTTTAATTTGAAATACATTTAGCTCAGACTGAATTGCTTGAACTCTGGTTTTTGTTCAACAGCATGCTTACTACCTCGACTTTCAGGTACAATCTGGCTGATGAGATAGACTATTCTTTCAGTTTTTGCCACTCATGACTTGAGTTCTAAACTTCGTAGTGGTCTCTGTGCAGAATCGACGACCTGACTACATATCCACCTTCATGGAGAAGCTAGTGTCCTGGGAAGCAGTGAGTGCGAGACTTGAAGCAGCGAAAGCTCGTGCGTCTACGAGAGAAGAAGAAGAAGAGATGAAGAAAAGGGAGGAAGGTGACATTGGTGACAGCCAGCCAGTAGAGATGTATGTAGATGGTGATGGTCAGGACGATGACTCAGACGATTAGTGCTTTCGTATTTCGAATGATGGCTTTGTGTAAGGACCATCACATTTTCAATGAGATTGCTTTAGTTTCCAGTTCTGTAGATTATGAACTTCCTAATAGTATTATATAGTACACATTAAAAACTAAGGAACACACACATAGTAACTACAAAAATTGTTCAAGAAAACAACAAACAGTAAGAAGAAGAAAGGGAGAGAAAAAAACAATATTTAACCCGATTTATCCTTGTTAACAGCCTTGTTGACCACCCTACAAGAACTCCTAATCTCACCCTGCGTCCCGGTCAGGACACCCACGGCTCCCAGCCGGACCATGGCCGCCCCAAACCTCGCCGGAAAATCCACCGAATTCGCCAGGTTCGCGATGATCGGCCTCGTGAACCTGTTCATCCCGAGCTCCTGGTCGATCTGCAGCACCCCTCGACGCAGCAGTATGTTCTGGTAGTACGAATTGTCGAGCACCAGCGGGCTGAACGGGTTCTGGTCGAGGTTCACGGTGTTCTCGATCGCGTTGATCGGGCACCTCGACCGCAACGTGTTGACGGTGAACTGGTCCATGGAAGGGTCGGGCTTGCCGCTGCCTTTGAAGTTGTGGATGCGCTCGCTGAGGAAGGAGCAGTGTGCCACTCCAACGGAATGAGCACCTAATGTTGTTGAAAATGAAAAATGAAAAATTAGTTGGGCAATCAGGAAGGTTTGAAAAGAATGGGTACCAAAGTGAAATTATCACCTAGAAGGAGGACCATGTCGACGGCGGTGAGGCCCTTGTCGGCGAATGCGGCAATGGCTTGTGGGACTGTGATAGATGGGCCTGGGAGAGTCACGTTTGCTATATCGGCCGACGAAACAAGCCCATCTCTTCTCCCCGTTTGGACTCTGTATATCCCTCCCCCGCTCTGCTCAAGGGGAAAGCCCAATAAGTAAAAAGAGTTTAAAAGCCCACATTAGCACATGATTATTAGTTCAGAGAGACATAGAAGAGAGGCACAAGTATCTGAAAAATGAAGAAGAAACCCTAGCTAGTTTGACCCAATTTGGGGCAAAATATGTTAACCTAATCGTTCTAATTTTATTGTCAATCGGAATCATCATACTACGAAACTAACACGATGATATGATTGTAGGATCTCACTTTATACGATCTACGCCTGCCTGTTGGATGCACACGATAATAATTATTTATACATTTGTGTCATTGTGCATTCGACAGACATAAAACATATAGAGCACTATCCAACGACCACGAATCACGCTGGGATATCTTGATTTCAACGGCAATTAGCACCGTAGCCAAATTGTGATGTGATTTTGAATTTAGGATCAACGGATAGAGATCAAATCAAACCAGGAAACATTCCTCAGATCACCAAATTTTGAAATTTAGGATACCGTTGTTGTGATATGCTCAGCTTAAAAGGTTAGTGGTAATAATACCTAGAAGAGTGAGTTGGAAGAGAAAGGGAAGAAATTAGATATCATAGTATATTACGTACGAGGAAAACGGCGTCGCGGGCGGCAATCGCAATGAGATCGGCACATGAAACGACGCCGGGGCAGATCTTCTCGACGGCATCCTTCGCCTGGTCGATGATCTCGTAGCCGCGGACGCTTTGATTCGGCGACGCCGTTTTCTCGCTGTCGGGACCGTCAAGGAGTATGGACCCATCGCACCCCTTACAATTAAAAAAAAAAAAAAGGTTCAAATTAAAGCTGGCGTCCGAGCCAGAAATTTAAACGAGGGGGCTAAAAATTTTTATGTATAAACGCGCGAGTCATCGAGGCGACTCCGCCAACAAAAAAATGTACGAAACTCACGTTGACGAAGCAGTCGTGGAAGTGGAGGCGGATGAGGGAAGCGAGGAGGGAAGGGTCGGTGAAGAACTGAGCCGAAACGACGCCGCCGACGATGGCTTCGACGTCGGCGAACCCACATTTGCCTCTGTAGAACCCGACCTGGAGTGCGCCGTGGCAAATTGGGTCACCGGACAAAAACAGCAGCAAGCCCAAAATAAATCCCACAGCTGCTGTCCCCTTCTTCATCACCAGGAGCTTGATTTCCCCCCGCTTTTTTCCCCCCCTTTCCGTAATTAATTAGTAACCATTCACCAAGAAAAATATGCAAACCGAAAAAATGAGGGAAAAAAAGAAAACCACTTACCTAACGAAGCTTTTTAGGTTTTCTTTTTGCCTTTTTTACTTCTTTGTTTTTAGCTGGCTAGGTTTTGTGAAGGAACTCATGGCTGTGGGGTTTCTTGGTACTTTTCTTGAGCAGCTTCTCTTTCTTTTTTTCTCCTCAAATAATCCATTCTTGAGCTGAACTGAAAGGGGCCTTTTTTGGGGTTTGAAATTGGGTATGAAATCTGTTGCATTTTTGGTATATAAAGGGTGGGGTTGGGTTGGTATTGGATTTGGAAAGGGAAACATTATTTTAGCAGTACTGGCTGTGTCGCCGCGGCTAGTTGTGCGCAAGCTGTAGCTTTGTTATAGCCGAGAGATCATCTCTCCTAGAATCATGCATGCATGTTTTGTTGTTGTTGTTGTTGTTTGTTGTTAACCCTTAACTTAGCCTCAAAATCTGGATTAGCATTTCTAATCATTTTCTCGAGTATCATTTCATTTCGTAATATAATATGGAAGGATTTAGTCTGGGGAAAAACAAGTCTTATTAGGTATAATGTGATCCACCATCTATAGATAACAAGCTGGATCGCGAGGAACATCACTATAACAACGGTTGGAATAGATTGGGAAAATCGACAATGTAAACAGGTAAAAAGAAGTATTCAACGTGGTTTATTAATACGGTGTCTACAATTTCTCCATATGCAGCAGATGAGAGAATTTTCACCATATGCAGATTACCGAGATTGATAATTTTATATATATTGCACATTATGGATTTGAAAAATAAGTGTCTACAATTTCTCCCTTTTCATGGGAGGCGGGATATGATGTTGTGTGGAACCCTAAAAATAATGTGCACTTGTATAGTTAGCATGCAAGAATCAAGATATATCCTTTTGCTTGCTTGGGATCAGTAGGTGAAGTGCAAGCTTTACGTGCACTTTTTCCCCCTTTACACGCTCCTATTTTATTTATTTCTGAATGTTCTAGTAATTATAATAATAATTTAATTAATTAACAACTTGGTCGGGTATGTAGTTGAGAAAGCATGGGCTATTGTTTTGTCCTTTTAATTTCGGAATATTTCCCCAAATTACTAAAAAAATATCTCACAATGTCAATACTACAACAACAAGAATCATTTCTAAACTACACAGGTAATTAGGATTAGATTGCTATAGGCCTATATATAGCGTCCGCCGCTTTAGAGAGTAGATCGCTCAGAAGAGGAGCGATTCATGTAGATTGATGAAACTATCGGCGATTTCACTTCATTAGTTAATCGCAGAAGCGATTAAATAAACTATATCGCGGACATATAGTCGGTGATTTACAGTTTTCACGGCTTTTTAAAGTGATTTATGATAAAATCGATGTTGTCTAAAAAGTGATTTACATCTCAATTCGATATATCTCGGGATAATGTTCGTTGCAACAGGTTTTTCGTGAGTAAATCGCCACAGCATGCAACGATTTATGTGTTGATTGCTACGGGATGCATCAATATATATGCACAAATTGAGTTGTTAAAAAAAAACTGCTTTATATTAATGCAACTGATCTGTTATAATCTCCTAATGAATAGCAAACCAAAGCTTTTATTTTTATGACAACAATGAGGCCTCAAGAGACAAGCCAGAAAGTGATCAGTGCTGCATCCTTGTGGCGAATGGGCTTTACAATCATGCGTTTCCTTCATCAGATCATTGATTCAATCTGGGGGAAAAAGAAATAATATTACTGTTTAGGACACTATATGCAGATTGCGCCCTGCACTAACATTACATAGCCAAGGCATGTAGAAAAGTACAACCTTCAACGTTAATCGTCTGGCTACCTACGGCACCACCCACCCCTGCTGTCATACTCGGTTTCCACCACAGAATCTGCAAATCGATACAAGTCTGCTGGATTGGCCGCGGCGGCAGCAACAACGCCTGGTGGTGTCGAATTCGGCAGCCCAGGAAACCCATCTATCGAAGACGACGACCCAAACAGTCCTCCATACGTCGTAGCATGTCCGCTAACATAACTCTGCCCACCTTGTACTCCGTACGCCAAGCTGCTGTTGTTCGCAACCACTGCCTCCCGCCGAAGGCCAGATGCTACGTTTCCAGCAGAAGAACTCGTGGAGGGGGCATTGTACACGCCCTGAAGACGACTGACTGCACCAGGATGCATTACGATGTTTTCAGGTGCACCTGCAGATGAGTAAGGAGGAGGAGCTGATGTTGCACAAGGATATGTATCTTCTCCGTAAGCACCGAGGGGATAGTTTGCCCTCAATGAGGTATTGTTATTGTTGTACGGGCTCATGTAGGTGGCTGCAGCCTTATGTTCATGCAAGCCTCCAATGCTTGGGGATCCAAAGGAGGCTCCTTGGCCAACCGCTCGTGGTCGTTTCATTGCTTGATTCATTGCGTTATCGTTCAAATCAGCTCTCCGCTTAATCATCGCCTTGGCCAGAATTTTCTTGTCTAGATCAGCATTGTCTTTCTCCAACTTGGTTATCTTCTCTGTAAGTTGCCATCCGGGAATAACTTTCAGAGGATCGAGATGACGGTCCTCGAGGAACTTCATCACGGATTTCAGAGCAGACAAGTGGCGGTCGTTTGCTTGTTTCTGCAGTGAGAGTTGTGGTAGGTAGAGTCATGTATTCTGAACACAGAGAGGGTGTAAACGTAAGTAAAAATCGTTTGTTTGAATGAAAGAAACATAATCCATACCAGCAGCATGGGCAAACTATTTGCTTCTCTTCTTCTCTTCTTTAGTGCTTCTTTGGATTCCCGAAGGTATGCAGTCAGAAGCTTCTGAGGAGGAAACTTGTCATCAATCCCGAAACTAGATGCCACGTCGACAGCCTCGAGTTTGCCATTTTGTTTTGTCGCACTGGTCATCATATGCTCTATGATTTCTGTAATTATCCATAGAACACATGGGTGAGTATGCAACAACGAGACTTCATTTTCTAATAAGATTATAGGATAAAGAACGGATTCTTACAAAGGGAAAGGGGGGTTGTTCGGGTTATGCTTCCCCTTAAATTTTGACAGAATGATTAAATTCAACGTTACTGAGGAATTTACCCTATACATTTCCTGACAAGACCATTCACAGTTTTCTAAAGCTATACTCTTATTAGAAATGATAGACTAATGGAAGAGGATCGCCATTTCTAGTCTATTCCAAATCTCATACTTCATATGCTTGATATTCTAATGGGAGGAAGCACAATTTCTGGGAAGAAGCAAATCTGAATATCTTAACATCCTCCTCTGTTCTGCTAAGTGATGACAATCAACAGTCTATCTATGGTAGCATGAACCACAATCACATTTAAGACTAGAACTAGTGCACCTTAGTTTATTCTATCTGTTCCTTCAACATTAGAACCTATATAATGTGCACTATCAACTGGACCTGGGCACATAGCGAGCACTATGCAACTATGTTGACAGTATCCACCACCTAGCATTTAATTCTACCAGTACAGACTCCAGAAAGCAGTGGAGTAAACCTTACACACATGGTAAGTAGCAGACATTTGAAGCTAGCCAGGAAACTAGGATACATACCTGTAACTCTGGGAACCAGTGGAGTGGACTTTCGAAGAGCCAGAGCAACCTGCCCAGCATTACCAGCCAGAACCAGATCCCAAATGTCCTCATTTCTGAACAGTTTGGGAATCCCGTAACCCGCAACGAACAGCAGCAAACCCTTGGCGTCGATTTCACTAGCTTTGCCTATGCCACCTTCAATTACAAGCCTCTTCCTCCAGTTCATAGCAGCCTGAGCAGCCTCTTGTCTCACACGCTCCTCTAGTTGAACTTCGCCATCACCCATCAACAGGAACAATTCCAGAGCCAGAACGCAGGCTTCTCTCCCTGAAACCATTGGAGAGTTTTTCGCGTAAGCTTTGCTTCCTTGGAGATAGAACCTCCCAATGCAATCCAACACCAGCCTGGCCGGTTGGGGAGCTGATTTAAGAGCCGACGGAACCTGTTCGCGAAGCTCCTGGACGTTGTCCAGGCGAGTGATGATATACTTTCGGAGACTTTTGCCGCACATCGTCTCGCAGAGATGCAGTAACTCAGAACTCACCGGAACGGCCGCTGCTTCGCCGTCACCATGTGGCTGCTCGCGACTCTCGATAGCAGTTTGGATCAATTCGAGGTGCTTCTCCAATTCGTCGAACCTGCTCTTGAATTCTCGAATGGCGGAAGATAGATTGCACAATCCTTGTACTGATTCCAAAACCCGGGACCTGGTGCGCTGCTCGGGTTGCTGCGGTGGCGATGTAACAATTGGGAGGCCATTCAATTCGACCTGCTCGGATTTGCCATGAGGATTCGGAGGTTGCAATTGGCACTGCGGCGGTGATTCTGAAACGGATTCGAGCTTCACCGGAGCGACGGTTGATTTTCCAGGTGAGTGGCCGGTGGCCGGAGCGCTGGCATTAGAGACGGAAGGTTTCGCCATCGAAGGCGACCGAGGGAGAGATGAAAAGGAAGAGGACGGCGAGCTTTTCCGGTTAAACAGAGGACTGAATGAGAGGAGAAACTTTTGGGCTACCGGACCGTCGGTCCAATGGCCCAACTTACCGGGCTCCAAAGTTTGAACAAATTGACCTCAATAGAAAAAGGTGATGGCCCAAAGTGGTCCATTCTTGAAGCAAAAGTCGGTTTTGAGGACTTGCTAGATGTAACGCTTACGGGAGAGATCCATAATTCATATGTAAGAAACCGTTTGTAATGGATAACATGTGTTTTGGGTAACATAGAAGAGTTCTTGTAAGAATTTTGAATTTAAAATGTGTTCATTATGAAGCAATGCAAGAATGGGTGACGTTCGAGAAGTCACCTTGATATGTACCCCGAGGCAAAAACTATTCGAGTCTCGCCCAGATTGGAAATATGTGATATTTGCATAGCTGAATTCACTTACAAAGCGAGAATTGTTTGGGACCTGAAGTCTGCACTCCTGATAACATTAAGTCAATAGGATACAAGTGTATATTTGTACGAAAACGTAATGAACAGAGGGGGATTATGAGATACAAAGGTCGATTTGTTGTGGTACCAGGAAGCTCTTTTCGCGAAAATGCCCTTTACCGCAACGGTGTGGTTCCAGGTGTCGTGGGAAGAGAAGTCTCAACTATCTCAACAAGCACAGCTAAAAGTTGAGATATAACAATCACTCATTTTGAGTGATAGTTTCTGTCAGACTGTCACATCACAGAAACAATCCATGAATTGTTTCTGTTAAAAAAATTAAAAAAAATGATGCATTCTAAACAATACATGTATAGTAACCATCTCAACAAAACAATCGCAACTTCCAAACGACCCCTAAAGTCCATTTCGTGAAAAATCCAGTACGCTTTCCGGTCGCGACGACTCAAAGGGCACCTCATTGCTTTGATTCCCATTCCGGTCTATCTGGCTTCAAGCGCCAACTCCCTAAGCTAGCTGGAATATATAATCCGATTGGGTACGAGCTCGATATGAATAGTGGAACATGTTCGAAGAAAGAATAGATCATAGCTTGTTATAATATATGAATACATTATAGATGGGAGTGACTGTATAGCTTACTCTCCTTATTAGCCGGGGGCGAAGGGCTTTTAAAGGTTTTTTGGTGACCATTAACAGGATTGTAAGCTCGTATTAAATGCTTAGAAAATTTACCGAATATCTATATGGGCCGGGATTTGCCGTCGCAAGACAAATTTCTCCTCGTATAAAAAAAAAAAAAATCACCATTCCTCTCCCTTATTTCACCAAAATAAAAGCGATTCAGTCTACAACCTTTGCTATGAATTTAATGCCCTTGCTGCTCCTCCAGCTGCGTGGACTGCTCTCTCGTAAACCTTTCCTAAACCCCTGCTTCCTATATTCACTCGGTTCTGCGTTTTCTTTCAGCTACATTCCCGATTCAACAGAGAGCCACTACGACCTTCTTCTCAAGTCAGCTGATGGGTTGGCTTCTCTACGACAGATACACTCGCCTCTGGTTGTCTCGGGGGTCGTCTCCCAAAGCATTCATTTGGGCGCCCAACTCATCGCCGGTTATGCAAAGTATGGAGAACCAACCAGCGCCAGATCAGTGTTCGATCATTTGATCGGTTGCGGTAATGAAACCAGTTCTTTCCTTTGGAACACCATGATTCGGGCTTATGCGAACGCTGCAGGGTGTAGCTACGAAGCCCTGGAGTTGTATTCCCTCATGCGCAGGGCTCAAGTTTCGCCCAATAACTATACTTTCCCGTTTGTGTTTAGAGTCTGCGCTTCCTCGGAGGCGGGCTCGTTGATTCTCCTGGGGAGAGTCGTTCATGGCGAGGCTGTGAGAGCTGGGTTCGACTCGGATTTGCATGTCGAGGCCGCTTTGGTGCATATGTACGCGAAGTGGGGCGAGTTTGGTGATGCCCGCAAGGTTTTCGATGAAATGCCTGTGAAGGATTTGGTCTGCTGGACGGCAATGATTACGGCTTACGAACAGGATGAGAAGCCTGAAGAGGCTCTTAGTTTAATGGTCGAGATGCAGAGAGAAGAGGGTTTGGTTCCGGATTCAGTCACTGTAATAAGCGTCGCATCGGCCGTTGGTCAGTTGGCCGTCCGAAAGTTGGCTGGATCGGTTCATGCTTATGCCATCCGTAACATTTTTCTCCAGCAGATAGGTGTTGCTAACTCAATTCTAGGCATGTACACTAGATGTGGTGATGTGCAAAAGGCTCGTTTGGTTTTCGAGAAGATGGTGGAAAGGAATGTCATTTCGTGGAACTCGATGCTCTCTGGCTATACTCAGAATGGACAAGCTAGTGAAGCTCTCGTACTCTTTGACGAGATGAATGATTCTTATGTGGAAGCTAATGCAGTAACAGCATTGATAATGGTTGCAGCCTGCGCTTATTTGGGCTCCCTTCGTCTTGGAAGAAAGTTCCATAATTTTGTTATCGACAGGAACTTCACTGTTGATAAGAATCTCCATAATGCATTGATGGACATGTATGCAAAATGCGGAGATCTGAAAACTGCGTGGGAAATGTTCAACAGTATTAATCCTAGTATGCGGGATGCCAGCTCATGGAATGTGCTGATTTCAGGGTATGGTATGCATGGACACGGTAGAGAAACCTTGAATATGTTTTCAAGAATGCAAGCAGAAGGCGTTGACCCAAATCACATCACATTCACCTCAGTTCTCTCTGCTTGTAGTCATGCAGGCCTCGTCAATGAAGGCAGGCAGTGTTTTGATGAGATGCAAAAGCTGTCTGTAGCACCGGAGGCCAAGCACTATGCTTGTGTGGTTGATATGCTTGGTCGAGCCGGTAAGTTGCAGGAAGCACTCGATCTGATCAAACAGATGCCATTTCCTCCAAATGATGCAGTTTGGGGCGCTCTGCTTCTTGCTTGCAAGATCCACAGGAATAAAGAGCTTGGACAAATTGCAGCTGACAAGCTGTTTGAGCTTCAGCCGGGTCATACGGGATACTACGTGTTGATGTCAAATATATACGCAGCATCACAAAGATGGGGAGAAGTAGTGAACCTGAGACAATATATGAAGAATAAGGGTATGAAGAAACCTGCTGCATTCAGTGTGATTGAATTCGGCGAAGAGATCCACGGGTTCCATACTGCTGACAGAGAACATCCATACTGGGAAGAGGTTTACAGGGAAGTGGAGATATTGGCTGTGAAGCTCAAGATGGCTGGCCATGTACCCGACCTATCATGCACTCTCCATGACATGGAAGAAGAGGACAAAGAACTCGCGTTAAACCTCCACAGCGAGAAATTAGCTGTGGCGTTTGGGATTATGAGGACCGAGTCTGGGATGACGATATACTTAACGAAGAATCTTCGTGTTTGCAACGACTGCCACTCGGCCTTGAAGTTTCTTTCACATATTTTTGACCGCGAGATTGTGGTTAGAGATGGAAATCGATTCCATCACTTCAAAGGAGGTGTGTGCTCTTGCAATGACTACTGGTAAAAGGTAGCAGGCTTTTGCAGATATATGTAATGCTCAACTGAGTGTAGCATCGGTGTGCAGCCCACGCCTAACTGGTACGTTTCACAACCCATATAACAACTCATCAGAATCCTTATAACTGGAATGTCCAGCAGGTCTGTTGTCGTCTTGTTGATTTTTATAATCTTTGGGGTGGCTGGAATGATTAGAGAGATTGGAACAAAATAGAGTATTGGGTCTTTTTCAATAATCCAATAATTGTTACAATTATTTGGATTAATGAATTGTTAGATAATATAAATTATGAACTTTAGGAATCAACTTGAGTAGTGGTTAAGTACCATACATGGGCCTGTATAAGATCCAACATAACCTTCTCCCAACAACTCGAGTTATTGGGACCAACTGGTTTATGACATGGACTCAAGTTGTTGGGAGAAGGTTATGCTGGATCTTATACAGGCCCATGTATGGTACTTAACCACTTCCTTACACGCCCTCTCAAACGAAAGCCGACTCATGGGCTTGAAGTTTGCACAGGCCCGCCATACCATGTGCTTGAAAGACAATGGTTAATATTGGGGGTCGTGAGGACTTGAATACGTGACCTCAAGGACAAACCAGGCTCTGATACCATGTCATAAACCAGTTGGTTCCAATAACTCGAGTTATTGGGACCAACTGGTTTTTGACAATCTGTGTCTCAGCTCAATCCCATTTTCTGTCTAGTTACCACTGGGAACATTTGCCTGTCACTGTCACATCTCGGCCATCCTCAAAGTTATCGCAGTGGGAAAATACATTCCCCTCAAACTTTTGAGACCGGCCTTGTTTTTAGTTGAACCACCCAGTTGAATAGTTTGAACCGCAACATTGCAGCAACCTCGTGCCACGGAACTAACCTATCTTTTTTGGCCTGTTTCTGCTCTTTCGTGTTTACCATTTCAAAGGGTGGCAAAATCGGCCGACTAATGCATCGAACGAGAAACCAGAAAGAGATTACGGAGTTTATTTTAGGCAAGGCCGGAAAAGCGCACAAGAATGACTCCAAAGATGAGCCGAAGTCCCTGTCAGGGAAAAGATGAGCAGAAGTCATTGGCTATTTGGCTGGACCTGCCCGGTTGCCGCAAGTTCAAGAAGAGCTCACGTGGCCAACTTGGGCGGTTTATTTGGTGGTGGTGGGTCTTATCTGCTTACCTCGTCTGTCCTTTACCAGACATCGGACCGAGCTCATTCATGGGAACGAACTGGGAGGAGGAGAAGTACAAGTACACAGCTTTTTGGACATAAATACAAGTTCATGGTTCAACTCTGGCGGAGAGAAGGGTAGAAAACGTGCGGAAACCACACTGCTGGCTTTACGTGTCAAGTAACCCCTTCCCCCTCTCTGTTTCTTCCTTCTACTCTATTCCTTCCTTCATTTCTCCCTCATTCATCTCCAATATTCCACGCCTCTTCCCTTTGACCCCTTCTCTCTTCTTGAAGATTTGTCACATACCCACCTAAAGCTTCAAAACTTCATTCTTCTTTAATTCTCGGGATTCAATCAGAATTCCCAATATTGAGGAAGTATTCCGCTTTCGTTGTTGGTAGCTGGAGAACCTGGGAAATGGAAGTGGTGCTAGCTTCGGCGCATCTCTCTGCTCATTCGAGATGTGGGTTGACTTCTTTCCAGCTCTCCCGCTCACGCCGAATCGGCCCAGTTCTGGCGTTTACTTCCACAACTAACAGTATAGCTTCTTCTTCTTCTTCTTCTTCTTCTTGTTTTGGTATTTCCATTTCTCATAAACACCATCAGAGTAATCCCCTTTCTTCGAGAAGCTCTCGTTTACGTAAGAAAGGTAGAAATTTCACCGTTTCTGCTGTGTTCGAGCGGTTCACGGAGCGGGCAATAAAGGCGGTGATTTTTTCCCAGAGAGAAGCTAGAGCCTTGGGGCAGGACGTGGTTTCTGCCCAGCACCTCTTGCTTGGTTTAGTTGCCGAGGATCGCGACCCCAGTGGTTTTCTTGGCTCTGGAATCACGATTGACAAAGCTAGAGAAGTTGTTAGTGACATTTGGCAGGACGGCACCGATAAGGATCCAACTTCTACTAGTACAGAGAAGGGCGTCAAGTCCTCGACGGATATGCCATTTTCGACTGGTACCAAACTGGTTTTTGAGGCTGCTGTTGAGTATTCCAGGACCATGAAGCATAAGTTCATTGCTCCCGAGCATATAGCCATTGGGTTGCTCACGATTGATGATGGAAGCGCAGGTCGGGTCCTTAAGAGGTACATCTTTTTCCTTTCTCATCACTTGGTAGCCTGTATTTCTGAGTTGGTTGTAGTTATGATTGAACTTTTACCGTGGTTCAATTGATAGTAACACGAGAGCGTTACAGGCAAGAAGAAAGTAACATGTATAAGTTCTTACAATGGTTCCTAGTAGAAATGCTTGAAGTTAGAGAATGGTGATAGCACGATTAGTCTGCTTTTGCTCTATGCTCTTGAAAAAGCTGTTGGAATGGATAGGCATGTCTAATTTTGTATTCATGGAAACTGTCATCAATGTGACCTCAGATTGGGGGCAAATGCTACTCATTTGGCAGCTGTGGCAGTCACCAAATTGCAAGGGGAGCTAGCCAAGGATGGAAGAGAAGAACCATCTGTATCCAAAGGCACTCGTGAGAAACCTCTATCTAGTAAAGCTATTGCTTTAAGATCGTCGGAAAAAGCTAAGGGTAAAAAGTTAAACTTGCTGCTGGTCATCTTTCCTTCTTTCTCTCGAGGTCCGAGGAATCACACTTTGTCTTCTACATTTGTTTCCTAGAGAAAAGTGCTCTGGCCCAATTCTGTGTAGATATTACCTCTCGAGCTGTTGAAGGACTCATTGATCCTGTCATTGGGCGTGAGAGTGAAATTCAAAGAACTATTCAAATACTTTGCCGCAGAACCAAAAATAATCCTATTCTTCTGGGTGAAAGTGGAGTGGGGAAAACAGCCATTGCTGAAGGACTAGGAATCAAGATCGCGCAGGCTGAAGTTCCTGCTTTCCTTTTAGTATGTGTTTCTGTTCCTAATTTTGGATCCTCTTCTTGTTCTTAGGTTTCCGGTTTCGGTTACTTGATCTTTCTCTTGTCCATGTCCTCCAAATATGGTGTTAATTGAGCTTTCATGTCATCAACAGGGTAAGCGTGTTATGTCTTTGGACATTGGACTTTTAATTGCTGGTGCAAAGGAAAGGGGAGAACTAGAGTCACGTGTGACTACCTTAATCAAAGAGATACAGAAAGAAGGTGGGTTTTTTGTTCTGCCTTGGGATTTTGTTATGATCCACAGCATTCTTGTTTCTTAGTATCAAAGTACTTCTATTGCAGGCAATGTAATTCTCTTCATTGATGAAGTCCATACGCTTGTCGGGACGGGTACAGTTGGACGAGGAAGTAAGGGAAATAGCCTAGACATTGCTAATCTATTGAAGCCAGCTCTTGGAAGGGGTGAATTACAGGTATATTATTCCTTGAATTGTTGATTGCTATTATGCTAATATCAGCAAAGATCTATACATGTGGCATTTCTTGCTTTCCCCTGGATGGTTAACTGCCTCAAAAGAAACCATTTGATTCTAACTGTTCAAGAGGACTTGCAAGAGTTCGCTGGCATTAACCAGGATCTGCTAAATTGCTAGAAATAGAAAGTGTTTCTCTTTAAATATTGACTACATATAATACATGTATGGTTGGACACATTTATCTGTTTGAACTGGGCAGAGTGATCTGTATCAGTGAAATCTTCTGTTTGGTTGGAGATAAAACGACGGGGAAATGGGTTTAAATCCACAATTTGACACAATTGCTTTTACCGCCTAAAATGGTTATGGCTGCAGTGAATCCTCATAACAGCATGCATTCTCCTGATCAGTGTGCTGCCAGTCTAATCCAACCTAAATAGTGCGGTCTATTTGAACAGTAGATTTATTTTGAAATGGAATACAAATGCTCAGATTCTCTTTTGGTCTACTCTTCCGAAATACTTTATTTAGTAAACATTGGCTTGCATGATGCTGGATGTGCCCTAGCCTCCTAGTGCTAACAAAAGTTTTCAGTTCGTTTTGTGTCTCTCTCCTTTAAGCTTTACTTCCATGTTGAACTAATATGCATGTATCATGCAGTGTATTGCATCCACAACTATGGATGAGCACAGGACACATATCGAAAGTGATAAAGCGTTGGCGAGAAGGTTCCAGCCTGTAATGATTAATGAACCAAGCGAGGTTGGTCTCGTACATGTTCTCTGATCTGCTTTCATGGGTTATAGACAAGCTCATCTGCCACTAACTTTTCATTTTGGCATGACATGGAACTAACAATTCAGGAGGATGCTGTGATGATATTGTTGGGCTTGCGCCAAAAATATGAGGCCCATCACAACTGCAGATATACATTGGAAGCAATAAATGCAGCAGTTCACCTCTCAGCAAGGTATATTGCAGATAGATTTCTTCCTGATAAAGCCATTGATCTCATTGACGAGGCAGGAAGCAGAGCCCGTATCGAAGCTTATAGGAAAAAGAAAGAACAACAAACTGGTATACTTTCAAAGTCACCAGGTGATTATTGGCAGGAAATCAGAACTGTTGAGGCCATGCATCAAGTGGTACGAATGCACTCTTTCAGATAAAACCTAAGCACCTCTTAATCTGGTATCAGTAACAGATTTGCTGATGTAGCTCGATTTTGCAGGTTATTGCAAGTAAGCCAAGCACTGATGATAGTAATTCGAGCATTGAGGACTCCGAAGATGTCATTTTAGAGTCGCCTCCACCTTCTGCATCTGCTAATGATGAGTATGGTCTTTTGAGCCCCAAAATCATGCTACAAGACTTCCAACTCTTTCCCAGTCGTGTTTTAACTGCATTTTCTGAATACGACTCTTTTGTTTTCAGGCCCACGGTGGTGGGGCTTGATGACATTGCCTCAGTTGCTTCACACTGGTCTGGAATCCCTGTTCAGCAGCTTACGGCTGATGAAAGGATTGCTCTGGTGGGTCTTGAAGAACAGCTTAGGAAAAGGGTTGTTGGCCAAGACGAGGCTGTTGTTGCTATATCTAGAGCCGTTAAGAGGTCCCGTGTGGGGCTCAAGGATCCTGACAGGCCAATCGCGGCCATGCTTTTTTGCGGCCCTACTGGTGTAGGCAAAACTGAGCTAACTAAAGCATTGGCTGCAAACTATTTTGGAACGGTTAGGCTTATTGTTTGATCACCCTTTAACATATTGCGTTTGGTTAACTGTTCGATGATTTAAAGTTTAGTGGTATACATATGTTGCAGGAGTCCGCCATGCTGAGATTGGACATGAGTGAATACATGGAGCGACACACAGTGAGCAAACTAATAGGGGCACCCCCAGGTTATGTTGGTTATGGCGAGGGAGGGACTTTGACAGAAGCAATTAGAAGACGACCTTTCACTTTGGTTCTGCTCGACGAGATAGAGAAAGCCCACCCAGATATCTTCAACATCCTCCTCCAAGTCTTTGAAGATGGCCAGCTCACAGATTCTCAGGTTTCTTACCATCATCAATTTAAAAGGGACTTATTGTTTCAGGATTATTGACAGGCATGTATTTGCGTTCTGCTACTGAGGTACTTCAATTCTCATCCTGGAAAACTCATGTATTTTTTACAGGGCCGCAGAGTCTCATTCAAGAATGCATTGATAGTCATGACCTCTAACATTGGATCTTCTGCCATTGCAAAAGGCGGACGTACTTCCATCGGCTTCATACTTTCAGACGACGAATCAGCTTCTTACGCTGGGATGAAGGCCTTAGTACTCGAAGAACTCAAATCATATTTCCGCCCCGAGTTGCTGAACAGAATAGACGAACTGGTCGTATTCCGTCCTCTCGAGAAGTCTCAGGTTCGTTCCCATCATCGTCCATTCACCATCCTAAAAATAGTGTGGTATATCAATGCAAACTTGACTCGAACGCCCTAAAAAAATCCGCTCTTATTGATTAAAATGTGCTCTCATAGATGCTGGAGATTGTGAACATGATGCTGCAAGAAGTTCAAGGAAGGCTGATCTCTCTCGGAATCGGGTTGGAGGTGTCCGAATCGATCAAGGATCTAGTGTGCAAGCAAGGGTACGACCCGGCTTATGGCGCCAGGCCGCTCAGGCGAGCAGTCACTCACATAGTAGAGAACCCTCTGAGTGAAGCATTGCTTGGTGGAGAGTTCAAGCCGGGCGACACAGCTATCGTGGATGTGGATGCAACCGGGAACCCGGTGGTTGTAAATCGGGCGTCGGAGAGGAGCATCCACTTAACAGACACAACTACGCTCTTGTAATTAATTGGTGTTTTATGTGTAGGAAAAGTTCATGAGTGTATAGAATGAACGAGCTTAGGTGAAGGGCAGTTTCATTGACGGTAACGCTGTTGGCGGATTCGGTTCTCAAGTGTATATGTAAAGGAGAAGCATCAATCAATACATTGGCCAACTTATAGACAGCCGACTTGTTACTTGTTAGGGTGCATAAATGGGTGTTCAACAGACTACATTCGTACCGCACTATATCAAACTAAATCGATATTTGTAATAGTATTGGATCGGGAGTAATCGCTAATGATAGGGCAAAAATAGGGGGCAAGGACGCAACACGATTAAATGAGACTGAAGTAGGGTTAATAAATACATATTAGGGGGGTTTTCAATTTTAATGTCTTTTTAATACTCTTGTTTTAAATTTGTTTTAAGATATTCTTCTTTCTGTACGTTGATGGCTAAAAATTTGCATCTATATTCCATTATGTGGTGGGTGTTTCATCCTCGCGTTACATTTCGAATACATGATTTGATGAGTTATAGTGTATGTATTACATATAATATACATTTTATAAATATCGTTTATTAGCATTAGACGACTATGATGTGAACCACTTGCTATACCAATTATTGCTCCTATTCGGTTCTGACAATTGAAACTCTCTTCACTCCCACTAGTTCGAAAAATATAGTTCTCACTTCTAACGAGATTCAACATGATTATATGTGTTCAATTTGGGCAACACTGGCAAAGAGGTGCATATTGCAAAACCCTAGGGTTATTCCCAAACCATCTCCAACAGAAACACAAAATTCATATTAAACAAGACAATCACAAAAATTAGGCGACCAACAGTAACCCACTACGATGATAAACTGCAGATTCTGCGGCCAGTGTCCATCACACCAACCTGCAGACTCCGTGAACAAAGGCAATGGCAATCAACCAACATATATTGACCCGCCCAAACTCCACGAAAAGCACTTCACTGCCAACAGCCACAGCTATGGCGAAATGGTCGCAGGAGAACAACCGCGGTTCATCCTTGTCATTCATCTGTTGCACCACATTACCTGAAGCACTGCCAGAACTACATGCAAGGCACTGAACCGCCACCATCCACAGCTATGGCGAAATGGTCACAAGGGGGAACAACAGTGGTTCGCCCTTGTCATTCATCTGTTGCATCACATGACCTGAAGAAGCACTGCCAGATTCTCGACTTCTGTTAGCCTTCTAGTTGGGGCGCTTTACTAGAAGCCCTCTTGATATCGACATCGACGAAAGTGATCATCATCCCCCAACACCTATGCATTCTCCAATCGAAACATATGCGCCTTCGTTGACAAGAAGCAATCTGACTCAACTTCTTTAGTCCATCCACCAAGACATTAACAAAAAGAACTAAAATATAGATAGAAACACCTTCTGGTCATGGGTTTGCAGCATCTCCAAAACTGCTGTTCTTATCACTAATGGTAAGGGGAGATCATGATTCTAATATCAACCCACTGCCACATCAATATTTTGCGTCAGGAATCGTGTGGTCAGAGTATGTGTTTCAATAGGAGCCTATGTCTTTAGGTACTCAACAGCAAGCAAACATAAATCCATGACCCACTTGAACTAATTGCCTACTCCGTAATAAGATCATAAGACTAGCACAAACTTTCAGTAACCACAAAAACACTTCACAGATCAGCTCAGAGTCAGCTTTTTGTAGCCATTTTCCAAATAAATATTGGCGTATGAAGTAAAGTGTGCAATTAGTTGAAGTATGGTAGAAGAAACATCCAGGCTTGCTCAACCTGCAATAACAGTCACTTGTGGCAATATTACAAGTAAACCACGAACAGAAAAACTCAAAAAAGAGATCACATCACAACTGGTCGGACACCACACACAGTACATGACTTGCAATTTCATATGATACATATACCATTAAAAAAGAGAGCCGAGCGATTATAAAACGAGAAAGCACTAATTTGTCCATAATGATAAGAGCTTTCAAAAGGTTTTCAGTTCAGCCTTGCTGACTCCATAAGGTACATATATCTGGGATGAAAGTCATCAAACTGTTCGCAAAGCTTTAAAAGCAAATACCCAAACTGATCATACAATACTTTTAAATAAGTGCCAACAGCACAAGGAAAAAAACCAAGAAAATGAAAATAAACTTCATTTGACTTTTTTTAAGATCTGGCCTTTGTAGTAACCAAATAGTAACATTTGACCACATTTATAAACTTCATTTGCATAAGCTCCATAAACTTCAGAAGAATCACCAAGCCAGTATCTAAAACACTGAGGCACCTATTAGGATCTGCAAAATGAATGAGAAGCATAAAAAGCAATTTCAAAGAAGAAATTATTTCAGACACAAATCCTTAAAAGAAATGGTTGAAGAATTGTGATAGAGCTAGTTAAGAGCTGGAGTATAAGTACAGTGACTGGCTGACCTTTATTATCTCAAGAACATAAAACAGTTATTTAATAACTTAAAAGGCAATGGATCAGGAATAATCAATGTAACTGAAGCAATAAAAACAAATTAAAAAGCAGCCAACTTAAACCTTTTTATGGAGTTGCTTGGCAATGAACGAGAAACACTAAAAAGCAGCTTGATGACTATTTGAAGCAAACTACTCTATTCAAATTTTCTGAGATGCGCCACCAGAAGAAAACAAAAAATAGTAGCCTAGAATACTTCTTGAAAGTCCAGCCTAATGACCAATTGCTAACGGTACAGCAATGTTAGTGTCTATTCATGCAAACGCTACAGCAAGGTTAGTGTCTATTCATGCTAACGTCTGGTCAAGAAAATCTTATACCATTTCAATTGAACATATATGTTTTTTATGCTGCTGTCAATGAACTATCTATTATAGGTCACAATTGAACAAAATAAAAGGAGTTCAACACGATGTTCATACCTGAAAGACCTAGTGATTCATATAAGGGGCTGCACCACCGTATTGCGGATGTTGTCCTCTACCAGGACCACCCTGACCCATCTGTTGGCTTGCATAGCCACCAGGCATCCCCTGGTTTGCATAGCCCATCACTCCCGGGCTTATACTTGGCTGGTTACTGTATGCACTCTGCATTCCAGAAGATGGCACACCACCTTGATTGACTGCAGCAGTACCCAGAGTTCCCAGCACATTAGTCAAACCCAAGCCAGCACCTTGGGTTGCAAGCAAAGCCGTTATCGCCTGGCCAAGAGCAGGGTTCAGTGCTTGAGCCGCAGCAGCACCGTGGTTGAACCCAATTCCAGCTCCAGTTGTGGGTACCATCATGTGACTAGGCGCCCCACCAACATATGGAGATGGATCATTCCTCGGATAATGAGAGCTCTGCGCATGATGGTGTTGCTGCCGCTGTTGTGGAGCTTTTCCAGGTTTAGGCCCATCAATAGCTTTCTGGCAGTGCAAAATATGACCCTCGAAGTTCTTATGTGGCTCCTCAAGAGCCCTCTTAGCACTTTCAGGGCTTCTGTACACAAACAAACAGAACCCCTTTGGCTTACCAGTCATCTTGTCAAGCCCCAGTGGCCCTTCTTCAATCTCCCCATACTTGGCAAAGAAGCTGGTCAGCTTATGTGGATCCAGATCTGCACCAACGTTACTCACATAAATCTTCCTTTGAGTGTATTCCGAAGCTTGCTGCGCAACAGGAACCACAGGGGCCGGCGCCTGCACAGGACCGATGGAGGCAAGCTGACAAGCAGTCATCCGGTTGCCGATCTTTTTCTGTGGTTCCCTAAGCGCCTTCCGAGCTCCACTCCGCCTCTTGAAGAGAATAAAACCATAGCCCTTGGATTTCCCAGAAACCTTGTCCGTCACCGCCTTGCAATCCTCGATCTCTCCATACTGCTTGAAGGCTGCAATCAGGGTCTCGGCGGTGGTGTCCCAGCCCAGCCCGTGAACAAAGATCTTGCGGTGAACGGGATCCTCATCGGCTATCCTCCGGATGCGATCCGCCACATCGCGGTGGATCTCCGCAGCATCCCGGAGCAAATTAGCCAGCTGATCCTTACTGAACGGTTCGAGAAGCTTCTCAATCGGCTCCTCGTCGTCGTCGTCATCCGGAGCCGACGCCGCCGCAGAAGAAGAACCGATCTGCTTATCCCCTTCGTTCGCATCTTCGCCGCCGTCCTCCTCCTCTTCCACTTCTTCTTCCTCTTCCTCCACCTCCTCCTCCACTTCTTCCACCTCCTCCTCCACTTCTTCGGCCACCACCTCCTCTTCTTCTACCTTAACCTTCTTCGCCTCTTCTTCTTGCAGCTTCTGCAGCTGCAGCTGTTGTTGCTGCTGCTGCTGTTGTTTCTTGGGCGGCCCCGACGATGCAGCGCCTTTCGAAGCATCAAGCTTTCGCTTCTTCGCCATCGCAGCTTACTACAGGCGAACGGAAGAAGAAGAAGAAGACAAGAGAATTAGGAAGAAGAGTGTCGGTAGCAAAATCTAGGGATTGAAATTCGGCGGCTAGGGTTTCAGATTTCGGGGATCTTGTTTCAATCGGATAGTTGATGCTAGATAGAGTTAGATCGAAGAAAACGGCAATTCCGTTTGGGCCTAGAAGTTGCAGCTCGAATGGGGCCTTGCTTAATGGGCTAGCGGGAGCCCAACAAGTTGGACGGGTCCAGCTTCGAGTCAATCGGCAGCCCCACTGGGCCACTAGGGGATTAATAAACTGCTAGTTGGCATGTGTTTTCCGTCACGTGGGTGGGAAAGTTGGCATTCGCCGCGCCGGAGAGGCCGACTACACCAGACTATACCAAAGACCTTTCAAACCTTACCTTGACCATGGGAATGGGTCAACGCTGTTTGGTTTCGATAAAAGTCAATAAACTCAACTTTGGGGGACCATTTCAGAAGTTTGCCTCTTTCCATTGCAAGTTTCCGAGTTTGTTCGCACCATGAGAGCGTCTCAAGAGTGATATTCCATCAAGATGAGTTGGGTGATGATGTGGCAATGACAAATGTAGTAGACTAGTAGCAATGATGTGATAAAACTTGTAAAGTTGCATCATGTGAAAATCATCATGTAAATGGAAAGTGAGTTTTTTTTGTTCTTCATCATTTGCTTTAACATATTGTTTTCGACCCTTTTTTATAATTATTATTTTTGAACCAAATTCGATTACACGACCTTAATAACATCCCGATATTCATAATTATTTTTTCTGATTGAGAATTCTTACACTTCAAATGTTTATATTTTTTTCTTAGAAAGATCGATGTCACAGCGGGCAACATGGTCCATTTGTTGTAATCTCATGGAAAACATATGGGCTGATTAGTTGTATAAATATTTGCCTTGTATAATGAGTCAACTAAGTAACTTGTACGATTGGTTAATGCATTTTAACAGTTGGACCTTTTTTGTCAATAAATTCTCTACCGATTGGCAAAGAGATTAAAGAGCACGAAATTTTATCGATCGATTTCAAATGGTAGCCTCTGGCATGTTCGTTTTGCCATTTTGACCACCATACACTCTACTTGGCCAAATTCAACATAAGCGATTTGCTGCTCCTCCATAGGATCTAAACTGTGGATCACTATTGATGCTTTCTTTGTGAAGCCATAAAATCACGCACAAATGTTCTTCCATCCGATGTGGCAATTCACGTCCTACTGGAAACCTCTAGATTTTTGAATGGCTTTCATATGACTTTTGAGTAAAATCATTATTACCTTCACCCTTTTTCTAAAGCAATGTTCGAACTAGCATGTTTAATGTTTGTGAAATGTATGTGATCTTAGGATGCCACATCGAGCAGGCGATGCTAACCAGGTTAGGATGATATCGCGCCAGATCATATAGTTGGTATCTGATCAGGTTGTTGATATCATATCTTGCAACAGGTCATGCAACATACTCAAGTGAATCGATTTTGCATTACCATAACTATGTGGTCCATTCAAGGGTGGTCAAACTTTTCACAGTGAAATTATTTCTTGCCTTAAAACTTAAAAGCCTCTTTGTTCATCCGACGAATCTATCTACCTACAAATGTTTACCCCACAAAGTCAAGTCACCAACGACTACTTAAGTGCTCGCACTAGTGGATGAGAAAAGTCTCAAATTTACAAAAAAGAAAGAAAAAGAAAGCCTGGCAGATAAGAAAGGGAACCTTCCCACGTAGTTTTCTTTTCCCCTCACGATTAAAATTAAGTATTACTCTGATTAATTTCTGTATTCGCCAAAGTCTTCATATTAAGCTCCAATTAAGCAACTAAGCCCTCAATTAACTCCAAAACCCGAGGTCTTTAGGCAATAAATTAATTACCACTTCCACTTTCTTAAAAAATGATTCATGTAACGACCCCAGATTAATTTCCATAATACAGTTGACTGTTCACTCCTTTTTCCCATTACCCACCACTTTCTTCCCCCTCTCCGCGTCTATATATAAAAACTCCGCCATGGCTGCCTGCCTCAGAAAATCACAGATAAGCCAAGTCCAACATAGCAGGCAGACTGCTTCCCCTCTCTCCCCAATTTCGCAACTTTCTACTTTTCTTCTAGCTTCTTTTGCCCTTCCCGGGGAATTTGGTCTCTGAGTTCCGGCGCCGACGAAGCAAAAGAAAACAGAGCAATCTGAATCTTCCCATAAATTCGGAATCTTATCCTAGGAGAGGGAAAACAGAGCAAAAAGCAAACAGGGTAATCTGAAATTCAGATTCCAGAGATACCCAGATTCAAGATATGAGCAAAGAAGACCACCGTCTCCCGACGGAGACGGAGCTCGTCGGAGCTGACAGGGTGCCCAACAGCGGGCCGTTGAGCGGCCCGTTAAGCGGGCCTCTGAACAAGAGAGGCGGCACCGCCGGAGGAAAAAAGAGCGCCAGATTCAACTTACCGGAGACGAGCTCTGTTTCTTCCTCTGCTTCTTCAGCTCGGGACAGCAACAACGACTACGTCGAGATCACGCTCGACGTCAGGGACGACTCCGTTGCCGTCCACAGCGTCAAGCCGGCGAACGGCGCCGAGGAGGATCCGGAGATGACCCTTCTAGCGAAAGGCCTGGAGAAGCGAACGGCTTCCAATTTAGGTTCGTCGGTGGTGAGGAATGCTTCGGCCAGAATCCGTCAGGTCTCGCAGGAGCTGAGGCGGCTGACCTCGATCAACAGGCGGCCCGCGGGCAGGCTCGAGAGGACGAAATCGGCGGCCGCGCACGCTCTCAAGGGGCTCAAGTTCATCAGCAAGGCCGACGGCAGCTCCGGGTGGCTCGCCGTCGAGAGGAGGTTCGATGAGATCACCGCCTCCACCGCCGACGGGATGCTCCCCCGTGCTCGGTTCGGGGAATGCATAGGTATGAAGGATTCCAAGGAATTCGCCCTGGAGCTGTACGATACTCTGGCGAGGAAGAGGAACATTCGTGGGGATTCGATCAGCAAGTTCGAGTTGAAGGATTTCTGGGATCAGATTTCGGATCAGAGCTTTGATTCCAGGCTCCAGACTTTCTTCGACATGGTTGATAAAGATGCAGATGGCAGAATTACCGAAGAAGAAGTCAAGGAGGTAAGAAAAGGATCTCACTTTACCTAACCCCAATAGTTGACCAGCTCCCATTCTTGCAATGAATTTGAAGCATGTGCTTGAGATTCAGAGTTTTCCCCTTTTTCTCGTAATTTAATCAGTAGGGATATTCTGTTGCAGATCATCACCCTTAGTGCTTCTGCAAACAAGCTCTCGAACATCCAGAAGCAAGCAGAGGAGTATGCAGCTCTGATCATGGAAGAACTCGATCCAGAGCACCATGGATACATCATGGTAAAAAAGAACTACACAAAATCTATAAATTTTGCTCTCCATAATATGCAGCAAGACAAGGTTTCCTGATGCGTTGTTTCTTAATGCTTAAACAGATAGAGAGCCTGGAAATGCTTCTGTTGCAAGGACCAAACCAGTCAGTGAGATTAGGAGAAAGCAAGAATCTGAGCAAGATGTTGAGCCGGCAGCTTCGGTCGACATTGGACGAGAACCCAATCAAGAGAAGGCTGAGAGAAGCAAAATACTTTCTGCTCGATAATTGGCAGAGAGTTTGGGTGCTGGCTCTGTGGATCGGGGTCATGGCAGGCCTATTCGCTTACAAGTACGTGCAGTATCGCAACAGAGCTGCGTACGAGGTCATGGGCGTGTGCGTGTGCATGGCCAAAGGTGCAGCCGAAACGCTGAAACTGAACATGGCTATCATCTTGCTCCCCGTATGCCGAAACACCATCACCTGGCTCCGCAACAAGACCAAGCTGGGAGTCGCGGTTCCTTTCGACGACAACCTCAACTTCCACAAGGTGATAGCAGTGGCAATCACGATTGGGGTGGGAATTCACGCCATAGCCCATCTTGCTTGCGACTTCCCGAAGCTTCTGCAAGCGAGCGACGAGAAGTGGGAGCTGATGGAGCCGTTTTTCGGGGACCAACCCTCGAGCTACTGGCATTTCGTGAAGTCGGTGGAAGGGATAACCGGGATCGTGATGGTCGTCCTCATGGCCATAGCCTTCACACTTGCCACTCCTTGGTTCAGGAGGAACAAGCTCAACTTGCCGCCGTTCCTGAAGAAGCTCACAGGGTTCAATGCGTTTTGGTACTCCCACCATCTGTTCGTCATTGTCTACGGGCTGCTTCTAACCCATGGTCACTTCCTCTACCTCACCAAGGAATTCTGGAAGAAGACTGTAAGTTGTGCCTTGCTTCGACTAAATCCCTTTGTTTTCTTTTATCATCACTAGAATGTTTGATTGGAAAACTGATGAGCTCGCTTGATGACAGACCTGGATGTACGTGGCTGTTCCAGTCGCGCTTTATGCGAGCGAGAGGCTGACTAGGGCACTGAGATCCAGCATTAAGGCTGTTACAATCAAGAAGGTGGCCATTTATCCCGGAAACGTCTTGGCGCTTCACATGTCGAAGCCGAATGGGTTCAGATACAAGAGTGGGCAGTATATGTTTGTGAATTGTGCTGCTGTGTCTCCATTTGAATGGTAAGCCACCCCACCCCATTCTAGTTTGAATGTTTGTTTCTTTCCCATTTTGGTTTCTGGGTTTAACACTGCAGGGAATTTGTGCTACAGGCATCCATTCTCCATCACTTCAGCTCCTGGAGACGACCATCTGAGCGTCCACATCAGAACGCTGGGCGATTGGACGAGGCAGCTCCGAACTGTGTTCCAAGAGGTGTGTCAACCACCTGCAACAGGGAAGAGTGGACTCCTTAGAGCAGATGAATTCCAAGGAAACAACAACCCTGAGTAAGTCCTTCACATCTATGTATAATCTATTTACAACTTGGGGGGAAGAATCTATGACGACGATGATGATGAACATTATCCCACCAACCATTAGCTGGCATGCATTGGCAGCATTTCAGCAGGGGATATAAACATATTTCATCACGATGTCAAAGTACATGACAAGCACCAACCACAACAAACAACAAAGTGAAGCAGCCATCCTTTTTTAGCAGTGGCTTATAATATAATCTATCTTTAGGTGTTGCAGCCACTTGGGCACAACAAAATCCCAAAAAACTGGCTGGATCAGTTCACATTCCTCTATCTATATCCCATTCCCTGCCAGCCTCCCATTGCCTTTAGTATTATTAATCAGCAGCCAAAAGCAAGCTTGCTTTTATAATGTTCCCGTTGAAATGTATAGTTAATTGTTAATACGGTCAGATTAGGCAACCACATTATCCTTGGCAACCCACAAACAAAGGCCTAAAACCTTTTTTGGCTTGTTTCTTTCTACTTGTGCAGCTTCCCGAGGATCTTGATCGACGGGCCATATGGAGCACCAGCGCAGGACTACAAGCAATACGAGGTGGTGCTGCTCGTGGGGCTGGGAATCGGGGCGACCCCAATGATCAGCATCGTGAAGGACATCGTCAACAACATGAAGGCCTTGGAAGGGGAAGACAACAAGGACTTGGAGAACGGAATGAGGACTCCCAGCCCGCCGCCTGCAGCGATGGGCGGCGGCTCCAACAGCAAGAGGAAAGAGCAGTTCAGGACGAGGAGGGCCTACTTCTACTGGGTGACGAGGGAGCAAGGCTCCTTCGACTGGTTCAAAGGGGTGATGAACGAGGTTGCGGAGCTCGACCAGAACCAAGTCATCGAGCTCCACAACTACTGCACCAGCGTGTACGAGGAAGGCGACGCTCGCTCCGCCCTCATTGCCATGCTCCAGTCCCTCCACCATGCTAAGAATGGGGTCGATATCGTGTCGGGGACACGTGTCAAGTCCCACTTCGCCAAGCCCAACTGGCGGAACGTGTTCAAGCAGGTCGCAGTCCACCATCCTAATTCCCGAGTTGGTACGTATGCACTTCCATGAATACAGTCAAATGCGTTATTCTACATTGAAGTGTTTTGGTGATTTAGAAACCTAACAAAACAAACTATTAAGCCTTAGAAAGCGAATTTGATTACATTTTCCACATGTTTATTTATGTGTTAGCCTTGCATTTCTAACTCATACATTGTACTTTTTTTGTAATCTACACAGGGGTGTTTTATTGTGGGGCACCAGGATTGACGAAGGAGCTGCGCAACTTGGCTCTGGATTTCTCCCACAAGACCAGCACTAAGTTTGATTTCCACAAAGAGAACTTCTAAGAATAAACAAAAGTAAACACCAGCCGCCCCATCCACCCATACGAGACGACAAGAGAAGGGAAGAAAAGAGAGACGTGAGCAACATTTCTTTGACTTCTATCATTGGGGCTTTTTCTCTCCACTTTCCTTTTTCCTTCTATGATTTTCTTTTTTGATCTTTCTGATGTTGATGATCAAAGTGTATTTTATTCTTTTATTTATATAAACGTAGATGTTGTAGTTTTATTCAATGATTTAGAAACCTTATAGTACCTCCCGGTCGGACCGAAATACCGGATACTGAACGGTAGGTGGTTTTAGCAATACGAAATGGTTGAATCATATGATTCAGCCACGATTTTAGTACAAAATATCATACCATTTTTTTCTGTATAACTTTCGGTACAATTTCACACTCATAGGTGTTACTATAGATAGCCTACAGAGAGGGATAGTGACTTAGTGAGATGAATGATTGAGGAGGGTGGGGATAGGTGCTGGAAAGTTGAACCACCCTAAGGGTGATGTGAGCCTGACCTAAAATGTCCACAAGTGACGTCCTGCTCATCAGTTTTATGCTTCTTCCCCTTTTACTAGTCTGGTTTTTCCCACTTTCCTGCTTGATATCCCAACTTTTTATCTATAGATGTGACTCATGTGAGAAGGGCGTGTTACTGGTCCCCTCTGTTGTTGTAATTATCTGTAAAATGATTAATCAGTTAACTATCTATTGATCTAAATCAAAGATTTTTTGTTTCACTTATAAGTACTAACCATGTCAGTGGTTTTCAATCCTTGTGATTTGACATTCCCACTCAAGTGGAGTCAGTAGGATTCGGAATCAGGAATGTGTAACATCCCTTTCCAAACGAGTGAATGTGATAAAATCCGGCAGAATAAGGGATTTGAGACAAATCCCTCATTCCAAACGACCTCTAGAATCCTCTATACGTGTGTAAATCCCAGTAAAAAAGAAAGAAACGAAGAACAACTTCAGGCTACCTACTGGTTCTCTCGAAAAGTAAACGTTCTGAAAGGTTAAAGCGGAAAATGTGCTGACCTGGCCGGTAGAGATCCATCTCTCATGTTTTTCTGAGCTTCCTCTTTGGTCTTTGGAAGAAGGGTTTCATCAACTGGGTTGAACTCGAGGGTTGCTCAGCTGCTTGGGAAGGCTGGAAAGGAATGAGCGGCCTCTTCATTGGCAATGATATCTCCGAGACATTGCTGCTGCTGCTGCTGGTGGTTGCGACAGTTGGAGAAACTGCCTTTGCTTTTAACTGTCTAGGCAATTCCAGCCTCTCCAATATCCTCCAAGTTTTCACATCCACCTGCTTGCTGCCATCTGCTGTTGTTGCTGGAGGAGACAGGACTGACTCGTTGGATCTTGGTTTCGAGATACAGCTGGTGGAAGAATGTACCTTGGGGGATTCATGCACGACCACCAACTGTTCCCATTCTTCCGAAATCGTAGGACTGCTGCTTTTCTCCTCTCTCCCTGCTGCTACATCCATCTTCAGCAGGTTTTCCTCTTCCAGGACTATGGCCTCCAGCTCCCCGTCTGATAAGTCAACCACCTCTGATGAATCTGCCAACAGACTAGGTGCTGCATCCAACTTTGCTGGGATTGACCTAAGAATAGACATCCGACACAAATTGTAAGCAGAAATTGGCGGGAATATATGACATTAATAGACAGGTTTTGAGTTGTTGCAAGTAGCACAGTGGTGCAGGAGAATATTTTAGTGCAAGTATAGAGTTAAAGCACTAGAAGTAACGATAGTCACCCGAATTGTAGGCTCTGTTTTACAAGCGAATTCAGCTTCTGATGGAAGCCTCTCTCGTGCAGGAGAGGATTATAGTCACTTAATTCCATCTGCGAGAGGTGCAGGTAAATGGGAAAGGATAAAAGTTCAGTCAAACTTATTTGTTCATGTGAATTGCAGCACTCACAATCTGGGGGACAAACCAAGTTGATTTCAAAGCGGAAAGAAAGGAGAGTAAAATTTTTTACCTTCAACAACACGGCATGAATGGAACTTTGAATCTCCTGAGGGATTGATGGACTAGCAATTCGATTGACATCAGGCATAGGCAAAATTTCTTCTGAGCCTAACAGACGCTGCAAGAAGTAAAACTTTCAGTCAAGCAGCATAACAAACAGAAAACGTGGAAGCAAAAAAATTGACTGTTTAAATTTATTCGTGGTTTAGAATCAAGTCAATATGATGATGGGAGCTTGTTATTCACCCTCAGAAGCATCGGCCCATTGTCTGAAGGCTGGAGAATGTAAAAACAGTTGAAAGCTGCTCCCAACATAGTATCTAGATTGCCATTTGAAGAGCATACCAAGCCTTGGTCCATTGAGTACAAAGCACGGCATATTCCTCCGAAAACTGCAATACAACATATCGGTTTAAAATTCCGATATAATGGGGTTCCATGAGTAAACAAGGTTGCAGAACACAATGAACTGAAGTTACTGTGCTAGTTTCAGAAAAAGGAATTTCTTGCAACCATCCCCCAACATTTATACCACTCTTAATTACCTTGAGCATTCAGTTTTGTCTTATCTTCATTACTGGAAATCCCTATTGTATGATAGTCTGTCGGCGTTACAACGTAAGACGAGCTAATAATGACACCTGTGCTTCCAAAAATGTAACAAGAAGTGGAAGTTTAAAAGTAAATCCTACTATATAAGAACCAACTTCACAAGGAGTAGATCAAACATGACTGACAGACACAGAGACAGGCAAAGAGAGAGAAGCAGGAAGTCATTTCAAGCATGCTAACGCCTGATCATAAATTATCCAATACTTTCATTGCAGGGAAACAATTATCGGTAACATAAGAAACACATATGCAGGATATCCACTAATCAACTCCAAATTTCAAACTATGACTTATCAACAAGCAAACTTCTTAGCTTCAATGGAAGTGTATTTCATTGCCGTCATGATGAACACTTTGATAGACAAGAGGCAGCCACCACGTGCAGAGGGATAATGTACAATCTCCAACGTTTTATAACTATTTCAGTCAGGGAACAGTACCTTCACTTAAAGAGCTTAGGTTGGTTCTCTCAATGATGTTGAATTCAATGGGATTAGACACTCGTTGCAGCTTTATAGAGCTATGGGAAGAGGGCATATACAGTATTGTTCTCTCGCCAATTCTAACAGAATTCTCGACAACATCAGATGCTCCAAGAACATTCTCAGTGAATGGACAAGAAAGCATCTCAGCTCTCTCCTTTGCCGCATGGTGTAATAGAATGCCATGACACCTGCATGTCTATAGGTAATGAACTGCGATCGTAATTCAATCCTCACACTAAGAGGTAAAAGCTAGCAAACTGACCATTATAACATGAAATCAAACAGAAAGGGTTACTACCTGGCAGGTACTGAAATCATCCACAATTTGATTGACGGTGATGGATAGGCAACAGAGTATCTGATTCTGATCTCCTACTAGGCTATCTCTAAAGTTAAAACGAGCCAGCAAGGGCTCTTCCCTTTCGTCTCTTAGATCAATTAACCAGCGCTTTGTCAGGCCATTGAACATTCCACCACCTGCAAAACTCATGGATCAAAACCAAACACAATATCACCTGCAAAAGCACATTCTACAAAGAGCTTTGTTTTTCTGATTAGCCCCTCCGGCTCTGACTGACAGTAGAATTGCTCAACAACAAACTTCAGAAGAATGTAGCACTTTCCAGCACATGACATAAATTAAAAGGACTGACCATAAAGCAAAGCTGATTAGCAGAAGCAAAGTAACCACTCATCAAATTCACAACTGGTCACTTAAATAAGCAAGAAACCTTAACCTGGAATATGACTTTCCACGGAACAATTGCGAAGATGAGATAAGTCTTCCATGAAGCTGCTCGTGTTCTCCATCTCATTGCTGAGACTTGAAATTTGCTTAATGAAGGCAAACTCCACAGTTACACCATGATCTGCAGCGTCCTGTTTAATAACGAAGCTTAAAGGTAAGATCATCTGGTAGAGTGAACCACAAGGAAAAAGGGGAGTTTGCCATTTGCCTCACCATAAGAAGCTTCTTATCAACCTCCTCTATCTTTAGAGGCAAATACGAGCTCAAAACAATCATTTTCTTCTTGACATCTCTACCTCCCCAGGAATAAAGCACTTGATCATTCAAAACACTCGAAAGCTTCATATCCACTAGCAGTCAATCAATCCACTCATTTGTCAATTCATCGAGCATGTTCAGTGCGAATCACAGAAGGAAGAGAGAAAAGCTTCGTTACCTCGGCTAAATAGATCCCCGGAATCGCCGATCTCCGGCAGACAACATTCCGCCGGCAAGTTGTCAACGGCGTGGTGGAAATCACGGAGACTGAAGTCTCCTCGAGGACTGTACGCGACTTTGAGCTGTCCAAACTCGCCTCCAATCCATTCATTTCCGTCGAAGATAACAGAAAAAAGTGAAAATAACACTTAAAGTACAGCGGGTGGAAGAAGCAAAAGAAGCACCTCAACTGAAGAGGAACTCCGGTCCTCGAAGACGTAGCACAATCCAATCCTGTCTCCGGCGCCGACCGGCTTCCGCCGCGAAGACGAAACGGCGTAGTAATTGGCTAGCTGCAACAAACACTGTCCACAAATCCGCAATTTCCATTACTCAATCAACCGACATGCAGGCGGCCACTGCCGCCATTGATCTCCGCGGAGCTAAGTTCTCGCTTGCTGAAACAAAATTGGACAATGCATATCGATTGTTACCTGCTTTAGGTCAGCAAGCAAGGAAGGGGATAGGCCTCGAAGATCCAGGACGAAGCACAGGAGCGCCATTATTCTCCTTCTCTTCCTCCTTCCTTGAGATCAACTTCCGTGAACTTCTTTTACTTCTTTGGCGCGGAATGAGAGATGTAAAACTGCTACTTCAAAACAAGAATGGGCGTAGTCCTACCAGTCACGCGCAGGGGAGAATGAAAGGAAAGGAAACGAGAACGGGTGTAGTACAATTACGAAATAGTATCCCTATTCACATAACTTCCCAATAATGTCCCATAGGTTAAGGATGGTTTGGTAGTTGCGAATTGCGATTGTTTTGTGAGGGCATGTTTGATAATTTTTCCAAAATATAAGGGCATATTTGATGTAAAAAATAGTAAAGGGGTATGTTTGATAAAACTACATAGTAGAGGAGCATATTGTACCTATAACCCTATTTATAATGCATCATTTTTTGTTAATGTTTTAGCGGTTTCTGTGATGTAACAGAAACTATCACTCAAAAATGAGTGATTGTTATATATTAGATTTTAGTTGAGATTGTTTTGTCCCAGCTTTTAGCTGATGTGACATACACAGTCACACATACCAAATGTTGTATTTTACTGACTCGCTACTACTACACCGCAAAAGAAATCCAGACTAAAGCCCAAGTATAAACTCTAGCTAGGTGCAGTATAGGGCAAGCATTTTAATTGTCAAACCTGGGCTGGTCCATGTACCCCTACTTTCAATCGCTTAAATTATTATCTAGCAAAAGGTTTTGGGTTTAAAACTAAAAAAAAAACTACATAGGAAAACAAGCAGGAAAAGTAAATTGCGGAGAATTCTATATGAGAGGACTTCACCCGGGTATTGCTCCCCCTAGTCTCGTATTAAGAAACCATGAACGAAATTCTAGAGTGAAGGATGTATTTATAAACCGTGAGGCGGGTGCAACTAGTTAGGAAACTCTAACTCTCTTAGTCATCGATTAAGGATTGCAACTATAAACTAGGTGGTTTAACTCTCTTAGTTATTCACCTAAGGATTGCAACTAAAGGCTAGGAAATCTAGCCATCTTGACCAATCGAACAAGGATTGCAAGAACCAATCCCTCATAAATTAATCCGGACGGCAGATAGCGACCAATCATGATGGGATCATGGCACTAATCCGATATTTGAGGTTTGTCCTCATTTGCCTAGGTGGAGGACACAAATTGGCCAATAATCCAGCATCTCAAAGGCTCTTACAACAAATGGATTCTCTCCACCTAGGTCAAAATGATCTAATAATGATTTAAAGCTAGCAACACTCAATCATTCATTAATAATACCTCAAATATTATATAAAATTCAATCAACACACATAGAGTCATGTTCTTACATCCTAACACACATCTATACTAGGGTTCACAATACCCAAGTGAGAGAGAGCACTATTCCATAGCTAGGCAAGAGAAAACAACAAAGATGAAAGAAAGAATCATGGAGTGGTGACTTATCCTCCTTCCTTGTTGCTTGAAACACACTTGAGAAGAAGAAGACCTTCAATCCTCTAGTTTAGGACAAGCCAAATCCTCTTCCTTTGGTTCTTCCTTTCACTCTCTTAACAAGAAGAAGGAGATCTCTCTTTCTCTCACTCGAATTCTTCCTCATTTTTAGGGGTTTTCAGCTCGAACCCTGGAAGGGAACCTAGAAAATGTGAAACCCATCCAAGATCCAGTCTCCCTTACAGTTACGTTCTATTTATACAACCCCACAGTCACTTTCACGGCCAGGACATCACGGCAGTGACATTGGACCACAAACCGTGACATCGGACAAAAACGCAGGTCAATGGCGCCGTTTTTTTCCGACATCACAGTCACTGGATAATTATCACGGTCGGGCGATCGTGAGTCCGTGACAATCCTTAAGCCCGCATGTGCAAAAATCCTCCTACTTCCCAGCTAACTTCACGCCCTATGGTAAATTGTCACGGTCTGGAAACTGTGATAATTACCTCCAAACCGTGACATGTGACTATTCTTCACTTTTTGGCGCTTTTCGACCTCCAATGATCCCGAAACTCGTCATCGAACTTCTCACACGTGTTAGGACATGAAATGTGGCAAAAGAAGCACAACCTATCGTGAAATAGGTCGATGGACGATGAAATGCTAAGTCAAACTATCAAGAAATGAAGGATAAAATGTGTGTAATTAGCCCCAAATCATTTACAATGCATCAAATTCGACAATATATGTATAATATTATACATGCATTCACAACAATATATCTATTTAACAATCACAATTTCCAAATGACCCCTAAATTACTGGTAATACACTTAATACATCCAAACTAAAATTTCAAATAAATTAATACAAATAGGATTGGCAATGGGGCAGGTCAGGTGGGTATTTCAATATTCATACCCGTTAGTGACAGATCGGGTTCATGTCAGATAATTTACTACGGGGTGCAAATTAGAGCAGGTTGTTTCATATGGGCATGTAATTTGAAGGGAAAATATCAGAAATATTAATTTTTGTATTAAAAAAATCAAGAAACAAACTATAACATGATAATTATAGTTAGGTTATTCAAAAATTGAGATTCTCACATATTTACAACTTTATTATACCTAAAATATGGCGTAATAAAATTAAGATCCTAAGTAATTTTCATAAAATTAGTGTTAAATGCATCGTGGATCACTTAAGTACAGCGTATGTTGCACATTAACCACATAATTTAATTTTGTTGCAACTTACCACATAAGTTAAATTTTGATTGCAACTAAACCATACAAACAGAATTTCGGTTGCACCATCACAATTTATGTCCATAAACTTAACGATGAGTACCAAAGGAAAATTATTGTGCTACCATTTTAGAGAAAATAAAAGTTATACAATCAGTAAAATGCCAACCTTATGTTATTAATTACCATGTTTCTCTTCATCCTTTGATTCTTCTTTTCTCTTCTCTTCTCCACTCCTCTCCTCTCCTCTCTTCCCACCTTTCATCTTCTCTTTTGGTTAGCCACTAAACAGAGAACTCGCAGCGCATCATGTAACCATTCCCAACTAAACCCAAAGGTTAACTTAGCAATAATAATTATTGACTAAACTATGAATTACCATTGACAATTGATTTGTTGTATACTTGTATGTGTAGAATCTATACTTGTATGTGTAGATTCTCAGTAGAAAACACCTCGATTAAAGAGTTAAAAAATACAGAGAATATAGGAGTCCGGTTCCCAAAGAGACAACCGATTGAGAGTTGCTCGACCGAAGATGATTGTGGGATGTGTGAAAGAAAACATGATTTATGATTACCGCAATGATTTCAAGAGGTTCCGCCAGGGATTCCCTCCATAGTGCAAATGTTACCTAATTGATGGGCTTTTTTTTATGGATGATTTAATGGGTGTTTTAGGGGAAATTGTGGCAAAAAACTAGTAATATTCAAAGCTTGAAACATAGATACAAAGTAATTTTCAAATTCGTTTTAAATAACAAACCAATGTGACATCGATACAAAACAACACAATTACTAATTATTTCCATAAAAGTTTCAAAGATGTACGTTACAGAGCACATGATGTGTTGGTGCAGAACGAACCCTGTTGTTTCTAGCAAAATACTATGTCGGTGTTGGTTGATTAATATTAGTCATTAGATAACAGTCAGTTATCATTGCACTAATTTCTTATCTGTTAATGATCGATAACCACCGTTAACTAACAATCCAAAATACTCCAACTAAAACCAACACTAAAACCATTTATTGGTTTACAAATACCTCTTTTTCGGTTCAATTCTTTTCGACTTACCCACTATTACCCCCACCCCAAAATCCTCTTTTTTCAGTTTTTTGTGTGTGTTATAGAAATACAAAAAATCCTCTTGCTCCATCATGCCTTGTGCAAATGGGCTAACCGGCCTTGACATTTCTTCATTTTGATATGTACTTAAGGAGGCGGGCCAGGCCTGTCTGGTCTTGCTTGCTTGGTCTGGTCTCCATCCCTCCTTCCCACTACCTATCTACCAAATAAAACAAAGCTTCTGTAAAAAGTTTGACCACGCAGGCATGTTCTTTCAATATAGCAAAAATTGGGCAGGAAAAGGTTAAACAACTATTTCAAAAAAAAAAAAAAAAAGGTTAAACAGCTAAAAGGATAAAAAGGTAAACAGCACATTTGTACTGCTATATTATAATTCATAACAGTTGTCCGTTCTCAACAATATTATTACTAAGCCATTTATATATCTTCACTACTATTTATTACTTAACCGAAATTATATACTTGTGTTAGCTGCCTGGAAATTCATTTAACATAGTTCAACTTGAAAAATATATATTATATAAGTTTTTTTTTTTTTTTGACAACATTCATCATTCATTTCATTCCAAACCCAAACAAGGGGAGCACAACGATTACAATAATGGAGCTACAAGGTCGGCAACAAGAAACCATTCAGGAGGAAGGAGATCAAGGCGAGAGTTCCTAGCGATCCAATCAGCAAGCTTATTGAGTCGACGAGGGACAAACTCAACCGTAATCCAAGGAGAAACACAGAGAATGGAAACCACACGAGCAAGAGATGCCCGGCACTGCCAGGGCCAAAGACTCGGATCCTGCCTCAACGCATTCGTCAACCTCTGACAATCGGATCGGACACACGTTGGTACAGGGTCCTGGGCAGCCCAGATAACTGCATTAAGCATCGCAAACGCTTCCGCTTGTATCGGAGAAGAACAAAAGAAACGCTCAGCCTTCCCGTCAATAACCTGACCGTGGGAGTTTGCAATAGCAATCCCATAAGCCGCCACCTGTGCATCAGAAACAAAGGAACCATCACAATGCACAACCTTACAGAAAGGACCAGGCGGTGATAAGGTCGAAGATCGAGAACTCCCAGGCTGAGAAGACAATCCAGCTGGACGTGAGGGCATATGAGCTGAGGATCCGATCTTAGCTTCTTGGACGTTTAACATATCACGTTCGGCTAAAATTGCCACAGAAGGCGGAGAGAACGCCCGACTCTCAAATACCCATCCATTTCGAGCAATCCAGATATTCCATAGTGAGCACACAATCTTGGTAATCTGGCCAACAGGGGCTCTATCCTTGAATCCAAAGAACCAATCCACAAAGCAAGAGTCAGCCCCA